GGTTCTCCACTTTAGTGGCCCGAGATCTGACTCCAAAGAGATTGTAATGATGATTGTTGTTGAAATATATATATCATCTATTCTCGTATATAATCATCGACTTAAATCGCGTTAGTCAATAACAGAACTGAATAAGCCGAATAACGAGAATGGACTTTTGAATACATATATTTTGTATATAAAGCGAATGGAATAGAGAGAGGAGAAACGATGCAGAATGGAGATGGCTGGTAAGCCAACTGCCATTTAACCAAGCATTAATCAATATTTATAATTACATGAAAGTAGGTTACAGACATGTGATGAATAATGGGATAAGAAATGTACACACTTATACGTGCTCATGTAAAATCAGTCAAGATTGATAAGCGAATAAATAACAAGGTCAGAATGTGACTCAAGTAGAATGAATAGAATGGGTTGTCTGAAAACTAGAATAAGGCATATGGGCTTAACATAATAACCGACACCACAATGGAATTATGGATACGTACTGCTGAGATGTCCTATGATAGAACGAAACAACTATCCAGTGAATCTAGGTTTTCAATGGTTGTCTAAGTTAAAGCGGTTGAAGAACTTAATAACACTTGTCTTTGTTTCGAAAGATAATACAATGGAAATTTTGTGGTTATCCACAAAATATCTATGCATGGCCTTCAGAATAAATTATTGAGATGGCAAACATTTTATGCAGTTCAACACTTCTCAATGGCGACTGGAAAGTTGGCGAGACTCTAATTTATGGACGAGCCAATCAGAAGCGTTATAGAGATTTCAGGGTTACGGCGCCAACTCCAGTGCTTAGTGTTAACGTACGATCGGTTCACAGGGAATTTTGTAAAAAACGTGATAATTGAGAGGCTATAACAAATAAAACGGCAAGACTATAATTTGTGGACGAATCAATCAGGTATAAGATAATAGATCTAGGATTTTAACGCGAAAGTCATTCATCCCTTTGGCTAAATAAATTTCTGGCATTATAGCTGATGTCAGTTAGTGATGAAAACCCTATATACAATTCCTAACTAAGGTAAATTACGAAAATTATTGCGAACTGGATAATGAAAGCACCAGTAACACCGGCTGCAGCCAAATACTACAATATATACGGATGTTTGGAGAGCGTACAGACTCCTACATAGGCTTGGTCATGTGCATCGTGTCGTTATCCAAGAGTAGCATTTTGTGCACTCAACGACTGGAGTGCACATAAACAATACTGAAGCTATGTGGTCTAGACTGAAAGAGGTTTTAAGACTTTACCATGGCATCAGAGGTCGACTATTCTGTAGCCGTACGGACGATTTCCTCTACTGCATGTATTACGATTTAAGAACCTCCTTCTAACCTTAACAATTGTTTGAACCACGTATAAGAAGTGTATCCACTTTATTTCTTTGGTTTTATATAACATATTTTCACTCTATACTGATTGTTTGCTGATTGACTAATATTTCTCAAGGTCACTTCAGATTCCTTCAAAGGTCTTCCATAAATTAGAGTCTCGCCGGAAAATTTCTTAATTTCAATTGGTTCTGTTGAATTAGTTTTTCAACCACGGAAAGTGTGAACAATAGAAATAACATTTTCAAGTAAGTTCCAGACTCAAAATACATTATATTTTAGAAATTGTGAATTCTATTTCGTTTGAACTTTCATATAACTCAATTTAAAAGTGATTGATGAGAAAACAAATTCGAAATGGTTTTAACGGTCTAATGATTCACTTATTCCTTTAGTTCTCGTTAAAATTCTCTATTCTACGGATGTCGTTCATTTCAACGGTGAACAAACACAAATTTTAAAATCTTTTTAATGAAGTTAATTTCTCCTTTACTATCTAGGATATTGGAAATATAAGTGATGGTGTAGTGTAATAATGATTGTCACCCTAAGTAATTTATTCCGTAGTCAAAAATATTCATTTTTTTTACTAGCTAGATCACAGTAGAAATCTTCAAATATTCCTTGTTTATGGAAGTGAAAGCTACGGAAATGAAAACAAAGTGAAATGATGGGGAAGATCTATAGCTCTGGTGAAGTTGCGATCCCTCAGCTGGATGATTTAATTGTTTTTCCATATGTTATTAGCAAAAACTTCACATATAAGTGAGCTCTATGTATTTCTTCACTTGACTAGCAGCTTGCTCTGGAAATTTTGAATTTGATTAGACGTTGCTTGCAGTGTTACTTTTATCCTAAGTTTGTGCTTATGATGTTGTTCAGAAAGACAATGAGAGCTGCATGACTGAACCATCCAGCTAAGAGGACACGACTTCACGAAAATGTTTGCATATTTGGAATTTTTTATCCAAATATTTTTTAAAATTATCCTGTTTTACCTTTCTTGCTGCTTCAAATTTCTGTTCCAAATACCACGGTTGGTGTAGAAAAAGATTCCCATTAATCCCTTCGTATTATTTATCTTTAATTATAATAATAAACCCTTAGTTGAAATATTAAACTATATTTCATTGAGGAAATAAACAAAATTAGAATGTCCGAAATACACGGGGTCAGAATATCACATTCCCAGAAAAACTGATCTTTAACTGTTATACCTAAGTTTATGAAATTAAAAAAATCCAATTTTTTAATGAAATAATTTATTACTTTCACATAAGACTATCCAGAACTAACGCTTCAACCTTTCCCAATCTCAGTGACAATTAAGTTTGTAGGTGTATTTTTAACAAGCACTGTACATTAACTAACGAATCCAGTTGGCAACTAGTGTTACATCTTGCGGTAGTTTGATTAAAAAAAGTTTCCCCAACCTGGTATGCAAGTGAGAAGACGAAGGATGAATAAAATGTTATTAGCCATTGACATAAATTTTCCTTCGATATATAAGCCAAGACGTTGACAATAGCATGTTTTGTTCGTCGTCTCTCAGATGCTGTATGACATTAGGAAAAAACGTAGGCACAGGCCCTTGATGTACAATTCTACTCAGCATATCATTTGTCTTTGCTGAAAAATAAGGCTATGTTCTTGGACTTAGCCACCTGAGTTAAGATGGATGTACATCAATCTCAGAAATGTACACCCAATATCTTACATGTGATCGGATCCACGACTTTCAGATGTCGTGCACAGGATACTGCTGGAATGCATCGATACACCAATCTGATATATATAAAGTCCAATATGTGAGATCATATAATGGGTTTGTTGTGAGACCACAAAGTACGTAATCTGGTCAATGGAGAGTTGAGTCCAATCATCTGATAAATCTCAAGCTATGACAAAACCGATGTCTAGAGCATCTTGGTCGCCATCGGTTCCCTAATGCTGACCTCAGTCAATGACAAAAGTCACCTTCACATTTAAAATAATCTCCACAATCTTTCAGTGAAATAATTTATATACATGTACGAACTAAAGTTCCCATCTAATGAATTTATCTTTAACTATATCCGTTTAAATTTTTATTAAATGCCAACTTCCGCTATCTAAATTAATAAGTATTGGAAGTAATCCTAACGATTATATATATATATATATATATATATACCCCACTAGCATATGAAGAAACTGTCGGACCAAATCCCAGAAAAGTAGAGGTAGTTACAGTATGAGTGGTGATTGAAAAGATTAGTCATCGAGGGTGCGATTCAAGTTACGCGGAATTTGAAAGAAGTTTAAGAATGGAGGCACCTGCACAAGTGCCATCCAAAGTCTCTAATCATTGGTTCCGATAATCACGCAGACCCCAATCAGTTGTCTACACCTATTAACATGGCTCACTCCAGTTAATGACTTCATGGACTGATGCATTCTCATTTTATATATTACTACCATTTAATTAACTGCTTCTATGAATTTGTTCATCATATTGTGCTAATGAGGTATGGTAACTTGGATCAATGAGTATATGTGCCTGGTTCTACGTTGTAGATGACTGACTGACTTGGTTTGACCCTCCCATCAATATCAGATTAATACATTTCCAGTAACATACATTGGATAAAATCACCAAAATGTAAGTTCCATCCAGTACATAAAATATGAACAAGTTTTTTAAGTCACTGTAACAATATAACTACATTGATTTCGAGAGATTATTTCGAAATGACTAGTTCATCATGAGTTTATGATGTATGTATTGTCTATTGCGAATAGTAAACTGATGTCATTATAGTCGCGAACCAACTCATTAAATTTTAGTTAAATATAAACATATATGTCAGTTAAGACACTTTTTTCAATTAAGAATATATTTCAGACTTGATGCCGTGATTAGAATGATTTTGTTATATCCGGCGAGAATTATGAATGGTAACTCTTGAGAACTATTTATAGACAAATATTATAAGTAAATTCTTAATGTATAACTATTCAGTAGCCAGATTGTGTATATTTATACTCCTCTTATTATAAGCTTTATTTTGACCCATAGACTATTATTATACGATTTACCGTTCTTGAGTTCTGCCCAGTCTATTAATTACAATCTACAACGTTCACAGCCACTTTTGGCTAGATTTTGTACAAATGTTGTTTACTATTTTATAGTGTGATTTGCTTGGCTTTTATATACACCCAATATATTTGAAATACATGATTCATATCGTAGAGGCTGAGATTGGTGTTCTGAACTTAACAGGCAAGAAGCAGGACCGATAAAGACTTCAGACTGCTCGTACGAGTTTTATGCGTCATTGGTTCAATCGATAATTCACTGTTCTCTAATTGGCGGTATCATTATGTTATATACTAATAGGGCACAAGACCACAAGTTATAACAGGTTTTCCACTGGATAGTAGTATCAAAACTCATATTTGGTGCTGGGTTCGATTCCCGAACGCAGGGTCATGGGTGTACACTTCTGAGAAGTTCCACGCTAAGATGAAACGGACACTTACTGTTTCCAGATTTTTTAGTTATGGTTTAGCTAAGAATTAAATTATAAAAGCATATTTATTCAGCTTATTGTACCAATACAATCCTAAATGACCGAATTGTTTCCACCTTAAGAAAAAAAGACAATTTATATCTACCAGAATTTTATTTTTTTAAAAAACTAAAAATTTTGAAAAAATTTATTAACAAAGAAAGAAAGAAACATTAAGATAAATTATCTTCCGATGGTAAAGAATAAAACCTGTCTTGACGATTTCAACAACCGATGAATGAATAATACATGTTCCGTAAAAAAGACAATTAAAATTTACATGATGAATTATCATTATTTACAGTATCGATCTGATTTCATTTTTTCACGTCTACAAAGATAAAAGAAAAATACAAATATTGATTTTTAAGTTATATTTAGATGCATATTAAAGTAAACTATGAACTTTGTTTATTGATAATATATGTGCTTCAAACAAGTGGTACAACCGAGAGTAGGGAGAGTTAGCTCTCCTTCTCTATATGCTGTCACATGGCCACGTGCATACAACCAGTACCAGGGAAATCCGATTCACTGCCTTCTCGCAACAGTGGTGTTGTTTACGAGATTGAGAGGACGAAAAGCGAATGTACGATGTTTTAACCGGGTCGGTGAGTCTACCTAGAGGAGTTGAAAAACCCTAATTCTAAATCAACTGTGCAGATAGACTCCAGTATCCTGAAGGAACAAATGACGTATGAACCTATTGTTGGTTGCCGGCTACCATGGGACCACATCCCCTGACGTTGCTCCACTGCTTTATGGGTCAGACCTTTAGGTCGAAGGTTCCGGGTGTGGCCTCCTAAGAAAACCACCTGCTTCGGTTTGGGCACACGGGAAGTATCACAGCCCACACTGGTGCCTCTTTCTACTAATGTTTATGTGTTTAGATAAAAAACACTATTATAGCTATATTGAAAACAATATTTTGGTGGTATAAATTTCTTTCTAGTATAGAGGATACCAAGTGAGAAATTTAATAGCGTTAGGAGAGCAGGTCTTGTGTGAACTGAAAATGAATGATGACATTTAAAAACCATTAATTTGCGAAAACCTCATTTTCCGGTTTACTTGCGTCATTGGAATTTAGAATAAACCTTGTAATTCCAACCTGTTATTATCTGACAATAGTTGTGCGTAAATACTGAAGAGCTTGCAACAAACAATTAGGGAACATATTACACTTTTCCGAGGTTGATAAAAAAGACTACTAACATATCAGTGAAACATCTATCACTCAGAATACCACAATTAAGAGTACATTACTGTTCAAACGTAGATATCAATCTGTGACTATTGGAGCGCTGTATTTTAAATATCAAAATAGATTCGCTATGTAAGAATTTGCAGTTGATAACATTCAGTAAACATTTTTTAAGGATCAGACTATTATCATGTGATTATAAATTTACGCTGAAATGACAGGATAATGAAAAACGCAGTTTGTACGACCCAGCTTTACTTTGACTCACACTAAAAAGATAAACACAGAGCACAGAATACATTGGGATAACCGGTTTATAAAATTAATCCCCTTACACATTTGTTCGTTAATCTAACAGTTTCTTGGAATTACAATCAGATGACTAAAATACTGAATGAGAATCAACTTAGTCTATAAAACAGCAATATACTGATTGGCCTTCGTATATCTTTTGTAAGTAAATAGTGATGTAACAGAAAGAAGAAATATTAACCCTTGGAACTTAAAGGACTATTATTAAATGGAATCATATTGTATAATTAATAAACAACTGGACCATTACATTCCTATATTCCATTTATTGTAAGCTTTCGTTTGACCCACTATTAGTACACGTGATAAGCAAAGATGCATGGTGGCTAGCAGTGAGATCCAGAACGCACGTTTCATCCTACTCGGGACTCGTCAACTGGATGTACCTGCATCCCACAGTTAGTGTCTGTTGTGTCTTGTGACTGTAGATTAGAGCGCAGCGAACTATCAATCGGACAAAAGACGCATAAACACGTAAGAACGACCTAGAGTTCTGATTGGTCTCGCTTCCCTGTCTAGCCCAGCCAGTTGAGTCCAGAACGCAAGTCTCAGACTCTGAGATATGAATCATTGTATTTCAAGCATACTGTCTTTATACCAATCAAGCAGAGCACATCATACCACAAAATACAAAATAACATTGTACAATATTGTCCAGTAGGAAAACGACACGTGAAATAAATATTGACCGATAAGAAAATAATACCATTTCAAGTCCAAGGATAGCATTAGACTTAAAAGGATAATTTTTGGGATATTTTTCCGAACATCCCAACACCTCCCCTTTTTTGAAGATCCGGAGTTGATATCCGGATTATAAATTTTCCGAGTTCATCCTCCCCCACGAAACAGTGTTGAATCCTCATATGCCCAACTTACAATTAATTTGAATTTATTTAAGACATATTTGTCGTACTGAACAGAGGATCAACTGAAAGTGACTAGGTGGAGTGGCTGAACGACAATTGATATGAGGTGACCGAAGTCTGACTCTTCTGAAATATTGTGATCAAATTTATGGGGGACACCACTAGTAGATAGTGGATCACTATAATAATCAGCGTCCAACAAAACTGCACCAGGTTCTTGATTATTATTTGGTGCGTAAGACATATTTTCTGGCAAAACAAAGGAATCTCGATAATTAGATTCGTCAGGAACTTTTATCGCAGAATGATGAGCTCAGTTTGGTGTAACTGTTTTCATTATGATGCTTGATTCATTTTCTGTTTCTTTTTGGGCGGGTACTGCAATAAATTCATGAACGTTTAATAAGACAACGTCTTTCTGTGAGCTGGACAATCCAGTGTTTGTACGTAGTGTTTCTGGGGCAATGAGATTTGAACCCATGACAGGGCATGTCTCTGAGATGGACATTTCTGGATCACTGGGCGCATCACGAATGACTGCTTCACTTACATTACTGCTCGTCCAGGATTCATAGAGGCTTTTATATACACGTTCATATGTTCTGCAGTCACTTTCCAGTTCAGTATGCAAATGAGAAATTAATTCATCAACTTCTGTCGCATCTCCAAAACATGGATGGTTTAGCAGCCGTGTGCGTAAGTTGTCCAAAATATTCAACTGGCTATTTTTGAAGCGCTGCTGTTGTCCGTCAAGCAGCAACTGTAATTGGTCGGGATAGGTGACTAGTTTCTGAGTCAGCACAGTAATTCGAAATACTGCATGATTAATTAACAACCAATGTCTCCCAAGGACACCGATGGTAAATCTGGACGCTGATTGGTCGAAATGAATAGACTAAATTTCGTCCAATTACAGGCTGACCTTGAAGATTGAGGGTTCAATTTTATTCTACCCCGTCGCCAATTATTGTGTCTTGTGGTCTGCAGATTAGAGCGCAGCGAATTATCGATCGGACCAAAGACGCGTAAAACACGTGAGGACGGCCTAGAGTCCTGATTGGTCTCGCTTCACTGCAATAAATGTATGAGCATTTAAACAAGTCGGGCAGTATACTGAGTTCAGCTGTCTCAAATGGTCCTCACCATTCAGCAACAGGAGTTTCTGACTGCGCACATTAATCTGCAGTCCACAAGACACAACAGTGTCCACTCCGGGACTCGAACCCAGTACCGCTCACTTCAAACGCAATCGCGTTATCCACTTAGTTACTGAGTCCTGATAGTCACTAGCTTGTACAGTAGGGTGAAGTTTAATTCATTTTTGTATATTAGTACACGTCATTATTTCAAAATTATTACTAACTGGGTATTTTCAGCTTGCCTGACTCATTTCCACTTTATATATGAATACCGTTTTCCATTTTATGATCTGATAGTCCTGTATGGAAACCTATGACTCCTTGGAATAATAACAATAGCAGAACCTTTGGCTGCTATCTTCTTATATAGGAATTAGCGGACCAATAGGAGCGAAATATATGTTAGGATCAACTCGACGTTAATCGTATTGGTCGGGCTATACCATCGGTTAGGGCCTATGATACTAGACTATAAGCGGAATAACACAGACGAGTAGAAAATTATAGATGGAAGTTTGACTGGCAAGCCTATCTAATGGTATTGATTAACGTCTCAGACATGACAGATATATACATATGCATACCACAGGAAGTAGAGTAAGACTCATATCCAAGTATTTAGTGAATGAGTTTAAAATCTTCTAAATGGCAGGCGACATAGACCGATACTATTTATAGTGCTGAAGTATTTTTCATGTTCTATCTTTTTCAAAGATCTTTGTTTTATATCAATCACCCTATCATTAGCATTTATTAATTCTATTTATTAAGTTTAAAGTGTGTCCAGTGAGCTCAATGTTCACTATCAGCAATACAGTTATTTCAATGCTTTTTCTTTTTCGTTCCGTTAACATATTTTTACGACGTTAATATAAAGCGCGACAACTTCAATCGATGTATATTTTCACTGCATTGTATCATTTTGTTTCTGATTGACTGACCAACTGAGAATTGAAAACTAAAGAGCATAGTTTAGTTTGAACAACTGAGATTCAATAGGTCTAACCAGTAAGCGTTACGAAGAAACAATACTTATAATTTGTTTTCAGGAACAAATTAACACATACCGATCTAGTAGACATTCATACAGATTGCCAGTATGACGAGCGCGCTTTACATTACTGAAATCTTCTTTGCTTAAACGAAGCTTTTGATCTTGCCAACTTTGGAATTTACGTCTAGAAATAAAGTGAATTAAAACAGTTGTTTTATTTAATAAGAAACTACCCAGATCATTTTGCTTTAAAATTGCGACAACCTTAGGAAAGTAGAACAAACACACAAAAATTTCCATTACGATATTTCTCATCATCACAGTCTAATGAAAACTGACGAGTGTCGCTTATAAATAAACCATGTAGAATGAGGAATAAAATGAACATTTATTATGGCTACCATGAGATGATGCAACACAGTGGCTAGAGACGTTATCAGATATGGCTCAGAATAGAAGCTGGTGGCGATCCTGCTGTAACCTTCTTTTACTTTCTTCATAAAAAGTGGTTGTATCTTCCTTAACTGAAAGATTTCTTCTGGTTGTACCTTTCCGTTACCCCCATTATTATTATCATACTACCTTACACTAATCTGTGGTCGTTATTGTTCTTTTTTTCTTGTACACCCCTTACCTTCTTTTTTCTCTTCCCATTCTCATTGTTTTGTGTGGCGCATATATATTTGGTGCCCCCTTGTACCAATATTTATGTGTTCAAATAAATAATTGCTCCCATACTTCACATTGTTATAAATTAGAACTCACGATGGATGGTGAACGAGTTTTGGATTATTAAAATGAATGCAATTTAGTACTAATAGATGCAGTGATACAATGTGGCCGAGTAATAACTGCTAAGAAAACAGAACTATTGATGCAAACCCCTGCATAGACTGAGACCAAAGACAATACCATTAACCAGAAAGATAATATGCTTAGGTCCAAAATATTAAACACAAAAATAAGCATGATTAAATTTCACAAAGAATCGAACAATGCTGATTTTACAAGTCACTCACCCTCCAATGAATTAAAAACTGAATCTGTTAGACTTAGTTCTTGTTCAAATCACAATAGCACAACCAGATGGAAAATCAAAATGATGAAAATTAAAATAACTGAAATAATAATAGTATCAATGAGAGAAACGAAACCTGGAAAATTTAGTTGAAAGACAATAAATAAAGGAATGAAGAGTATAGGGTGATAATGGAAATCAAGATTTAAGGGAGGCCAAATGTTGAATACATTCGACCGATGATAAATAACATCATCTTTGATCTCCAATCAATAAAGATATATTAAGTTGTTGATAACCTCGATTTATAAATTTCTATAGGAATAAAGTTGGAAATGTACAGTATACTGTGGATCACACAAGCATACATTTGTGGTTCAATGTACGGTAGATATCGTTAATTTGTAACTCACAAAGTACAGGTTTATGTAATTGGTTTTCAGTCAGTTTGTATGACGACCAACAATACTACCCATACTTTCCAAAATGAACTAGCGGCAGAGTAGTTCGACCCTGCGACCCACCAGTCGGAATCCAAGTATTTTAAACACTGAGTCATCCAATGAAATACAAATAGGAGTCGTATAAAATGTAGAAAAAATAAATTAAGTAACAACTTACACATAATTAACTTCAGCTTTTTTCAAGCCTTCGCGTTCTTCTTCTGGTATATCCAATAAAGGATCATGGATAAGAGGTTTATTAGAACGAAACTATGAGAAAAAAAGTGATAAACAAAGATAAGCCGTTTGAATAAAGTATAGAAAACATCAATCAGACACAAAATCATCACCAATTAAGTAACAACTCAAAATATTTGCATAACATCAGTTTCTATGAGTTGAAAATTGCTTACAGTTGAAATGAACTATAACTACATATTAGAGGAAATCTTGTACACCGCTATTAAGACAAGCAAAAGATGTATGCACTTTCGAAAGACCCCTTGAATGTCGTACTACCATTGGATAAATGATATTTTGGGTTTCAATAACAGCCACGATCTAGACGAAGTACTACAAAATAATGCTTACAACAGTCAAGGTAAAACAAACTAGAAATCCATGAAAGTTCTTACTATTGGTATTGGCTGTGTAGGAAAGTGAAAACTTTTTGGATGATGTTTGTATTTTAGTATGTTGAGAGGAATTGTGCAGCATTAATTTAGAGGCCAACTTTATACCAAAATATTTACAAAATTCATCACTAAAAATGTATATATCCTTATGTTATATGATAACAATTATTGGGAATACCACTTCTCCTTTACAATTTGTTCTATCTAGCAAATTTTAGTCTTATGTAACTCAACACAAATAATTGAAAACTATACATTAATCTTGGACGCTGAACAGATATTTTGCAATCGAATTAAACTGAAAAAACTGACAACAATTACATACAATAACCATTTCATTGGTTTTGGCTTGTTGACTTTTGAATATAATATCATCCGTAATCGGATCAGCTGAAAGGAAACAATTGTTTGCTCCTAACATAGCACTACGACCATCTTGAAAAATTGGTTCGAATTGTTCAAAAACTCCAACAGCATCTGCTGTGGCTGCCAAAATAGCATCGGATTTGGTAGAAACACCAAGATATCTACCGTACCTGTATTTCAAACAGAAAACAAAACCGAGATTATTGTGTTTATAGGAAAAAGATAGCAGTTTAAAAAACGAACAATGATTGTAGATATTGTTTGACAATGGTTCCACATTATTTTACGGGACGAATGACATGATACGGTAAGAATCAAGCCTGATAGTAGTTAATCAGTAATCCTATTGGAAAGTAAACGACCTATGGTTCTTTAAATTATTTGTTAATTCACATTTATACATGTTCACTTTTCTGTTCAGTATTTTATAAGGATTTTATTTCGTTATAAGAATATATTCCAATGAGCAGCTGTCTTGTCTTATGATATTAGTTAACTGTGAAGAAGAGGCGGTTATTATCTGCCCACATTGTATCATTCCACAGCATCTATCGATCAGTGCCCTTTTCTTTCATCTTAACAGCTGGAAATTCATTCATAAAATCCCATTTCATTACACTGCTATTACAAAAACTCCATATTAACACACTTGTGTTTATTTATACAATTTGTATTACATAAATCTCTATAAAATCAATGATAAATTCGTATTCGAACAACCATCAGGTTAAATGTCACTCCAGTGCAAACCGTAATGGAAAGAGTATATGGGCAAGATTTTCTCTCCTTAAAACAGACGTTGAAACTAACGACTTTCATTTAAAATTAAAAATGAAACATCAATCATGAAGTACGCTCAAAATAAAACTTAATGACGATAACACCCTAACTGTTTGGGCTTTGACCAGACTCCTTTAAATTATCTAGCATCAATACAAGTCAGTCAATCAGTCATCTACAACGTACGACCAGGCACATATATGAATCGGTCCAACTTTCCATAACTTATTAGCACAAAAAGATGAACATCAAATTCACAGAAGCAGTTACTTCAACGTTAGTTATACATAAAGAAAGATTGCATATAAAGATATGATACAGGGATAAAGAATTAGTTCATAGGAAGAAAGGTATAAGGTAATTTTAATCTAATAGTTTAAGGGAAAACAAAGAGTGTACATATTTACGCCATTTTGATCAATTGTGAGTCATGGTCATTCAGTCTTCAACTATTGTCGCACGGACTCCAACCAAGTGGTCTGCATCTACCAACATGGCTCAGACTAGAAGTTAGTGACTTTGTGGACAGTTACCACATTTATAGTTTGGCTGCCCCTAACTTTCTTCCATCCGTCTACAACACTAGTTAGCACTGCGTGCAGTAGTAATCGGTAGTGGGTAATACGAACTAATACGGCGCGTATTTCTAAATTGGAAACAAAAAGATATTCCAGCAGAATAAACTTTATTATTCAAACATTCACAATAAGAGCTAATTCCTTTGAGGGGAGTTAGTCAGAGACTCTACAACCACAAATTAAGGTAAATTACATTGTAAAACTTATTTTATTTGAATTATAGAACAGAAAACTACTACTCACACTAACTAACCCAGATTTAAATGCAACTTTAGTATCAGAAACTTGCATAGCGGTGAAAATCTCTTCTGGAGCTGGTGGTTCTCCGTACTTCCTTGGTGGTCCGATAACAACCAAACCTTCATCGGTAGCTGATAAGTAACAAGCACCTGTAAACTCCTTGTTATTAGCATCCGGTCCAGAGTGTGTAGCCGCTTCAAATCCATCAGCCGTCAACGGTTTATCAGTTGCAACATAAACTTGTATTGCTATTGAATCCTTCACTTCATCGAATTCTTTCACAGACCACCATCCACCATGAGCATCTGCTTCCAAAATACGTTCTGTTTTCTCAACCTTTGGTTTCGATTCGTGATGTCTTTTGTGGTGCTTTTTCTTCTTCTCACCTTTTAATTTTAATTTTCCAGGTCGGACAAATGAGTAACTGTCCATCGTCTAAAAGTCGATGTAAATTTTCAAATACATATTACACCATACATTACATAAATCTTACGTCCATGCTAAACATTCTAGATAAGATAATTCCCCTACTCAGTAATCTTATGTAAAAGGATAGTGGTAATTTACAAGACGTTAAACCTTAAAAGTTGAAGACTAGTTTGTCTTAGATATAATAATTGCAAAAAGTAAAAGCAATTGATGTGTTTACAAAATGAAACTATAACATCAGATAATTTCAGTTAGTCATCATCAACGTAGAGCCTGACATAAATGTACATCGAACCAATTAATCATACTAAATCCACATAACGAGATGAAATTAAAAGAAATAGTAAAGGAGTCGGAGTTGTAGTACTGATGATATTAAAAAAGACTAAACATGGACAAAGTATGTATGAAAGAATATTGTAATTCAAGATGGGACGGAAGATATAGAGTAAATGCATCTGCACCACTATCAACGGTTTCAAGATATTACTATAGTCTCCAGTTACTGATTGCCGCTATAGCGCGGACTTTAACCATCTAGTGTGCATCTACCATCATGGTTCAGACCAATGTTAATGACTTCTTGAACTGATGCTACGTCTTGGTCTGGCTGTCTCCTAGCTTTATTCCAACTTACTCCCATTTCACCAAACATAGCTTGTCGAGGTAAGTTGTGATTAGGCATAAACGAACACGCCCTTAACACCTTAATCAGTAAGGATTCATCGCCTCTTCAACCGACACCCCGCTTTTGATCACTAAATTAAGCTCGACTTCAACATTGTGTACAAGAGTGCCTTGTACACAACCATGCCAGCGGTAGCTGATCACGATGTGATCAATCTGAGTCCAGGCTTGAGATGTAGAGGGAGGACGCCAGGTGGCACATCGGCGATGACTGTGTCGGAAGTTAGTGCTAGCCAGAAACAGGTTGTGGTCTGTGCACAGTTGCAGTAGACGATCCCCGTTATCTGTCCTGTGACCAACAAGGCCCCATCGGCCACCTAAACGACTCTCTTCTGTGCCTAGACGCCCGACCTGAGCATTCAAGTCTCCGGCTAGTACTACAATATCTGTCGAACGCACTTTCTGGAGAAGAACAGATAACTGGTGGTAAAACTCATCCTTGATTGGATCCGGGCTGCAATCTGTCGGATCATAGGCGGAGATGGCGAAAAGGAATCGTTTCTCACGCCGATTTCTTCTCACTTTGATGGAACTCTCTAATCTAACAGCACATAACCGACTGTTAATGGGGATCCAATCGATTAGTGCTGCCTCAGCTCTAGCGCTTAGTGCGACACCAACGCCAGCAAGACCAGACGAAGATGAAACAGGGTCCCCGGATAAACGCACGTAAAACAATCCTTTTGAAGCGACAGATTGAGAGCGAATTTGTAGTACTTCACCAGAGTTTTGAATACGGGTCTCGGATAGACAACAAACATCGATATTAAGACTTTCTAAAGCCATATCCAGCCCTATCTGTTGTCCAACCTGCATAAGTGTGCGAACGTTGAGGACAGCCAGTTTGAATGGTGCACGTGGTTTCAGAAGCACTGCCTCAGTACTCATATTCGGTGGTAATATACAATTTTCAACCGGACAGTGACTCGAGAACGTTTAGATAGAGTCGAATTTCCACCATAGACGAGCTGCTGTATAAGTCGAAAAAATAAGTATAGACAGAGTGGGAACAAAAGGGGGTGAATAATGACGTGATAAATAATAATAATAATTTGAATCATTTGATTGTTAGTCGAAGCAAGAAAAGTAGTTTCCATAAATTTAGACAGTTCATAATTTGTGTGGGCTGTGATACTGCCCGTGTGCCCAGACCGAAGCAGGTGGTTATCTTAGGGGGCCACACCCCGAGCCTTTGACCTAAAGGTCTAACCCACAAGACAGTGGAGCATCGTGAAGAGATGTGGTCCCATGAAAGCCGGTAGCCGAAAATTGGTTCATACGCCATTTGTTCCTTCAGGATACTGGGACCTATGTGCACCATTGATTTGGTTTGGAATCCGGTTAAATCGCCGGACATTCGCTTTTCTTCCTCTCATTTTGGTAAACAACACCCGCCACGAGAAGGCAGTGAGTAGTACTTCCCTAACAGAGGCTGTATACGCGTGGCCGTGTGAGAGTATTTCGAAAGGGAGGGCGAACCCAACCCGCTCCCGGTCATACCAGGACATCAGTGTACAAACCGTATACCGAATTGGAGTCATTAGCTAAGACACTAAAATTCCATGGCTTTGATGTGTAGTATGTCTCCGAAACATGTATACAGGATAACAGCGTTATCACTGACTCATAGAACCTATATGGAGAGCCAACAATATATACCCTGCAGGTATCCTAAGACGAAACGAAGAGTTCTCATAGTTTTCTTGATGCATGTGTAGTACTAAATTTGAAGGCTGAACACAGACTTTCTGATTGGATTCCTGTCGACAGTTACCCATATGCTGTCCATCCCAATGGAATCACAAGAACTTGGGAAGATACAGACATACCCCATCGCCCCTCCACTGTTTCTGCTTATGTCCCCATTGACTGCATCCTGGAGTGAGTAAAAGACTAGTTATATAACGTACTTTCAAAACCCATCTGCTTAGACGAAGTAGTTGCAACGGGCGATCATCGTACTCAAGTTGGTAGACTAAGCTAAATTGAAACGTACTTGTATGGGGCATGTGGTGTTTCAACAAAAGGAGCGGATAACGGAGGTTATCTAGTGCAATTATGCTCAGATAACTGGCTATCCTGGGAAGTGTGAACTTTAGACAAAATGAAAAACACTGTCTGACCTGTTGACGCAAATCAACACTGATGGTTACAAATAGATCATATCACCATCACGCATCGTTGAGGAGGCTCGACCGCAGACTGCCGCTCCTTCTAAAGTACATGCTTGGAGTTTGGTCATACCCTGCTTAGTGTATGCATTATTAAGCGTTTTACTGGCAAGAAAACCTTCAGATACCAATTCGATTGAAAGGCTAGGCATCGACTAAGGGAAGAATCAGCTAAGTACCTAGTAGGTCGTGAAGAAACGGCTTGTCCTGAAATAGCTTAGAATGATGTTTAAAAAGCTGTAAATATAATAACGGCGTCCACCAACGACTTATATCGAGTCTATGGAACGCTGATGGATTCAGGTGGCATCTACAAATTGACGTGCGCCCCGAACATCTCGAGAGGCCTGGAGAACGATGGGACGCGGTGAAAAAAGCGATGAAAAGCGCAGCGTATCTAGATGTGATCTGATGTAAGGTGTTTAGATCGATCTACAAGGCTTTCGGAGACCATGCTGATACAATCGTTCTAATGAGAAAGATCAACCTTTGATATTGTAGAAAAATCCATAACAGTAATAACCTTCAGAGGACCTGGAAGAAATTGGCTTTTCTAAAAGTAAGTCGAAAATAAGGTGCCACTGTCACAATAAAATTCAGTCTTAATCCCAAAAATTAGACGAAAAATCCCCTTGCTTCTTGTTCTCAGTAGCTCTTTTAGTGGAAAATTATTAAGATTTTTTTCGAATCCACAGCTTGGTTCTATCGCACACAATCTTTCTGTTTTGGAGAAAAATTTTTTCGCTTTTGAGGTAGCCGCAATAAAGTACTTTAGGGAAATGGCACAGAACCCCCAAGACATTCTAGGGTCTGGAGAAGATCTCCAAGGTTTTGAGGAAACCCTCAAAATGTTCGGGAGAATTATGAGTTTCTCCCGCATCTCTGTGCTAATGTGGTATGGTAACTCGAACTGATATATGTACGTACGAAGTTCTACTTTGTTACTGACTGACTGATGCGTTTTCCCGAAGATTTTCTCAGAATCTTATAACACTTTAGTTTTTTCCCGGACATTTCCCCAAACTTTGAGAAAACTACCAAACTTTTTACAGTTTTGGGTAAAACCCTAAAATTTACAGAAAAATTCCCCCAGATAGGGAGATTTGGCCATGAAGCTCATGAGCTTGGCTGACTACAAACTGGAAGACACAAAACCGAAGACAAAACGATATTTTAATGAGTAACACTCATTGTAACGCTGATAACGAGCCGTAAAAAGACAAAAATCCTAATGTTTCAGTCAGCATTTTGTAGGTACATACCTAGAGCCACGCTGTAGCGTCACATCTGTATAGCCCGGGTTGAATACAAATGATTGTAGACAGAGTATAAAACTTTTTTGCTTAACATGCTTCTAGTATCGATGATTACCGTCACTAACAGTAAAGGACCTAGATACAGTCAACAGATAGACGAGAAATACGTTCCCTGACTATGTCACAAACAGCAAATGTTCAACCAACAAATACCCTTGTAGCGGTAAATAAATCCCCAAAATAAATAGCTCTGTAAGTTTTCGACATTGGATGCTGACCATATGTTTTAGTGGACTCATCTAGCTGAAGGCGCTCGGTCAGGCATCTGCACCAGATCACGTGTGGTAACGCCGTGCTCAACATCAACCGCAATCGCTAGCCAGATTAGATCAGAGAATTCCGATATATTGGTCATCGCCAAATATACTCTTCCGATCTCCTCGACTCTGTCTTTTGATTTCTCTGGGCGGGGACGAAATATATTAGAAGGTGTTACTGGTAGAAGCGTTGTCAAACACTGAATACCTGTGACATCATCATTGGTGAAACCGTCGTGATCTGGTACACCTAATTGCAACTGTGAGTCTGTTCCTTTTTGGGATTTTTATATATCATTGCCTTATTTTTTTTATTTTTTTAAACATTGTGATTTTTTTTTTCGTGTTTTTTCCTGGATATATATATTTTCCCCTCGTTCATTATCGTACTTCATACTTCATCATGACTGAACAGACACCTAAAGTATTCAAGCTTAAGACTTTGTCCCCGCCTTCGTTTCAACTGATGCCTTTCTGGCCCGACAACATCGAAGCCTGGTTTTGCTACGCAGAAGCCGACTTTTCCGAGCACGGCGTGATCGACACACGTGCACAATTCCTCGCAGTAGTCAAGGCACTACCGCGCGAATTCAACAGGTACGTAACACCTAGTATGTTTACTAGTGATGTTTCCGATCCTTACGAAATCTTAAAACGCTCGATTCTTAAACGAGGAGACCTAACCGATCGGCAAAGGTTAGATCAACTCTTCAACAATATCGACCTGCAACACGGTTCTGCGACAGACATGTTGCAACGGATGAGAGAGGTTATAGGCCCAAGAACTTTCGACGAAGGCCTATTCAAACAACTCTTCTTGTCAAAACTTCCCCAACAGGTGCAAGCAGTTCTGGTCTCGTTCCAGAACAACGCCCTAGACGAGCTAGCTGCATCTGCCGACCACATTCTAGAAATTACGAAACCTTCTACTACCGAGGTATTTTCAGTCAAAGAAAAGCCTCACACGACTCAGAACGATATAACCGACTTATGTCACACACTCACGCGTTATCTTAGTCTTCGTACCGACCGTAAGAGATCACGCACACCACGTAGAAGCATTTCTCGTAAGCGATCTGTCTCTAGACCACGAGAGACGGATAACCCCGACTGGTGCTGGTATCATAACCAGTATGGAAAGTTTTCCAGAAATTGCAGAAAACCCTGCAATTTCCCCAACACGAAACCGACTGATTCGAAAGACAATTCGGGAAACTTCCAAGCCGGCACGCGTTAACGGCAACCGTAGCCGGCGAACAAAGCCGTCTGTTATACGTCACAGATGTGACAACGAGAGTTCGCTACCTCGTCGACACTGGCGCAGAAGTTAGCGTTCTCCCAGCAAATCCTAACGATCGACTACACGAATCGACCCTAAACTTACAGGCGGCAAACGGAAAACCGATCGCTACGTATGGCAAAAGGTACGTTTACCTTAACGTGGGTTTACGCAAACCCATCCCCTGGATTCTCGTTGTTGCAGATGTTTCTATGCCAATCATTGGTATGGACCTTCTACAACACCACAATCTGATCATCGACACTCGCAAACGGAGGCTAGTAGACGGAAACACTAATTTGTTCGTTTGCGTAACTTCTTTTACTGGTTGCAGAGAATCCCCAGTCACAGTTAAACATATGATAGACCCACTCTATCAACCACTACTCGATAAGTACCCTGGGATACAACAAACTCAACCGAAACTACCGTGTGTAACCAGCAATGTTACACATCACATCACGACTACAGGACCACCTGTATTTTCAAAAGCACGCCGACTAGCTCCTGAAAAGCTAAGGTTAGCGAAAAACGAGTTCGACCATATGATAGACTTAGGAGTCATACGACCGTCAAGTAGCCCATATGCATCTCCGTTGCACATGGTCGCTAAAAAGGACAGCAACGATTGGCGTCCAACTGGTGATTATCGGCGATTGAACGCGAAAATCATTTCCGATCGTTACCCGTTGCCTCATATTCACGATTTGACAGCTACCTTGAAAGGTACAACTGTCTTTTCGAAAATCGACTTGGTTAAAGCATATAACCAAATGCCTATGGCTACTGACGATATACCAAAAACAGCTATCATAACTCCCTTCGGACTCTATGAATTTTTGCGAATGCCTTTCGGTCTAAGAAATGCTGCTCGAACATTTCAAAGATTCAAAGACGATGTTTTTCGAGGTCTCAACTTCGTACACGCGTATGTTGACGACTGCCTAATCGCAAGACCGGACAGAGAAACACATCTCAAGCATCTGGATCTTATTTTCGAACGACTACAAAAACATGGCATTACTGTAAACGTTCAGAAATGCCAATTCGGAACCGACTTGTTAGATTTCCTAGGACACACTATCGATGCTCAAGGCATTCGACCTCTTAGGACCAAAGTGGCGGCCATTCTGGATTACCCAGAACCGACCACCGTCAAGCAATTGCGCACGTTCAACGGCCTGGTAAGTTTCTATAGACGTTTCATACCGAAATGCGCATTACTTATGAAACCTCTGACCGACCAACTTCGTGGAAATGCGAAATCCATTAATTTGGACGACACCGCAAGAAAAGCATTCTCCACAGTTAAGGAACTGATTGCTAAAGCAACAATGCTTGCACATCAGGACACCCGAGCACCCATTAGCATCGCAGTAGCGGTAAATAAATCCCCAAAATAAATAGCTCTGTAAGTTTTCGACATTGGATGCTGACCATATGTTTTAGTGGACTCATCTAGCTGAAGGCGCTCGGTCAGGCATCTGCACCAGATCACGTGTGGTAACGCCGTGCTCAACATCAACCGCAATCGCTAGCCAGATTAGATCAGAGAATTCCGATATATTGGTCATCGCCAAATATACTCTTCCGATCTCCTCGACTCTGTCTTTTGATTTCTCTGGGCGGGGACGAAATATATTAGAAGGTGTTACTGGTAGAAGCGTTGTCAAACACTGAATACCTGTGACATCATCACCCTTTCTATTTTCACATTTTCCATGTTGCGGATTTAACACAGTAATTTATTCGTTTTCATTTTTCATATATTACATGTTTCCCCTTCATAACTATTAGATAACCGTGTTTCCAAAGTTTTTCTTTGTAGCGATAAATAAATCGCCAAAATATATAGCTCTGCAAGTCTTCGACATTTGATGCTGACCACATTAATTTTACAGAACTCACCCATCTGAAGGCACTCGGTCACCCATCCTAGCTAGATTACGAGTATACCGCGCTACACATTTCCCACAGCTGCTGGTCAGCCTAGATTAATCACTTCTCGAAACATCGGTATTCTACCAAATATATCTTCGAGCATCTCCGCTTCTGACTTGTGATTTGACATGTTTCTGAATTAAATATGTTACTAGTTAAAGTGTTTTTAATCTCAGAATACTTGTAGCATCTTTGTTTTTTAACCACACAATTACTGATGTTTTTGCAAACGTTGGGCCTTGGATATACCCTGAACCACGGCCCAATTAATCATCCCTATTCCCCCAATAAACTACCACCTCTTCTTGCCGAGAATAGTTGACTGACTATGAAGAATCATCTGCAAACCTCAGTCGCATCAACACTGAATAAAATAACCTCTCACTCATTGGTTCGTAAACTGACAACTTGTATAATTATGGTCTACTTTGTTATTAGTGCTACTAATCCTAAAATTGCAGATTTATCAGTCTTCAGTAACAAGGATGGGAGGTCTATCGACCTATATTAATCCTAGCAGTGTGTAATACTGTGTAGGTCCAATCTCGTTTTGAACATATCAACAGAAGATGTTGACATCGTGTGTTCTGATAGAGAATTCCAGTAATTCACTACTTGGTGCGAGAAACGAAACTCCAGACGTAAACGATTTGATCTCGGTTTCTGAACTTCCTTCGAATGTCCTCTCAAATGATCAGTCGTGGACGGAATGAAAAGATAAGACATTAATACCAAAGTCATTGTTCAGGATACGATAAGCCAATATTAGATGACCCCCTATTCTATCGTAAGATAACGGAAATAAGTTGAGGTGTCTCAGTCTGTCTTCATAAGATAGGTCAGATAGACCTTTTACCATCTTAGTACCTCGTCGTTGGACTCTTTCCAGCATCTCTGCTTCATACTTGAAACAAGGACTCGCTGCTTGAATCGCATATTCTAAATTTGGTCGCACATAAATCGAGTATAATAGTCTAAACATTTCATCATCTAAATACTGGAAAGGCCTACGAATAGACCATAATACTCTATAGCCTTTCGCAGCAGCAGTCTTACAGTGACTAGTGGTTTTGAGACCATTGCTTAATATGACTCCTAAATCTTTATAGTTTCTAACTTTGGGTAACACGAATCCACATATTGTGTAGTGATACGATTCATCATGGTTATTTATTTGCATCACTGCACTCTTGTTAGGATTTACTTCTAGTGACCACTTGTCCAACCATGCCACTAATGAGCTAAGATCGTCCTGTAATACTATTCTATCTGACATACTCTGTATGGGTCTCCAAATTTTTATGTCATCAGCGAAGTGTAGAAGGGATGATCTCTCTATAGTTGGCAATCCACTTACATAAGGTAAAAAGAGAAGAGGACCGAGGATTGTACCTCGGGGAACCCCACTTTTTACAGGTACCCACGAGGAGAGAGCCCCATTAACCCTCACCCTTTGTCTCCTGTCATGGAGAAAGTTATTTATCCAATCCACGACTGTGTAATGGATTCCAAA